GTCATAATCATCACAATTATGACAAATCACGACTTGAACTATCTTGCTTTGAATGTAATGAGTCTATCTTACATAGTTTCACCTTTTAAGTTGCATTATTGAAATAAATGAACTTTTGCGCGATATTCTAATTTTTCGAGTTTCACCTGTATATATTCTAGTATACAATAATGTCTGAGATGGTTAAAATTCCCTATATTTTACATATAAACATGCATTTGAACTTGCAAATTAAATGAAATTAAATGAAATCTTTAACACTTTGGTTCTGTTTTCCAGGAACTGCCATAGAGCTAGATATTATACAGATCTTTAAGTCTTTCTTTCTTACCTCTAATGCAAACTTTCCTTGTTCTGCTTTGCCAACAGGAGTATAAACACGAATTAATATACCATCAGTGGTCCTGGTCTCAACAAAGTCATATTCTCCGACCACAAACGCAACAAGATATGTTGACATCACAGGAGTACGGGCAAATTTCACTTCTACCAAATTTTCATCATCAGGATAGGGCATTCGGTCAGTAATGTTCTGTACAACAAATTATGAAAGGCTGAATATATTGAATGTGAAGCAGTACTAAATTTTATAAAGTGAAAGTGATACATTCTGGCCTATTTCTCAGTGCCAAATTACAATAACATGATTTCAACTCTCTCATTTGCATTCATCTACTACACACTTCAATTCCAATTTCCTTCTAGGATACAGTCCCTCTGGGCTTTTTAAACTTACAATATTTTTTTATTAGTGGATATGTGTTATTAAAGATTTTTTAAAGACTAAAAGTACAAATCCTGAAATAAAAAATAAGGAAAGAAGCATAATCAGTAAATGAATAATGTGCAAAGAAAAAACTATAAAGGAATAGTTTTCAATCTATAACAGAAGTTACAGAATCATTTATCTAAGCAACATATCTATCTTCTCTAACATATTCTCTTTCTTTTCATACAGGTGATCCTCAATTTATGACCATAACTGAGACTAGATTTTCTGTTGTTAAGTGAGGTAGTTAAGTGAGTCCCGCCCAATTTTAAAAGCTTCCCACAATTTTTAAGTGAATCACATGTCATTAAGCAAATCCAGTTTCCCCAATGACTTTGCTTGCCAGATACTGGCTAGGAAGGTTGCAAATGATAATAGCAAATGTTGTAAATGCATGCTTGTTGCCAAGTACCCAAATTTTGTTCATACAACTGTGGAGGATTATGTGCTAATTATAAGTACAAGGACGAGTTGAAAATCACTTTTTTCACTGCCACTGTAACCTTTGAATGGTCACTAAACAAATGGTTGTAAGATGAGGGCCACCTGTAATATACATTCAACAACTGATCAAAGCTATGATGGCCTCAAAAATGGTACTTTTAAAATGGTGATCACATGATTGTGAGGCGTTTCTCCTATTGTTGACTCAGCCTTCCATTCTTCCGAGATCGGTAAAATGAGGACCCAGATTGTTGGAGACAATATCCTAACTCTGTAAACTGCTTAGAGAGGGCTGTAAAGAACTGTGAAGCGGTATATGTCTAAGTTATATTGCTATTGTAAAACACTGCCTACCTCCCCCTGCATGGTCACAGTCAATGATTGTGTTCTGTATGTGTGGCAACCTGTTGCTTATTGCCAGTTGCTAAATGCCCCTACAATCATGTTACCATCATTTTCAAACTTCTCTGCTGGCTTTCCCAGAAAATTACTGGTAAATACAGGGAAAGTTGCAAGCGACTGCTGGCAGAAAGCAGAGATTTCTGCAGGCAATTTTGAAGGTGAAAGCAGGGCTGCCAGCCAGGAGGAATCTCAGCTCCACATGCTTCAAGAGTAAAATGACTGCTTGCTGATGGGAAGGAAAACTATTCTAGAAGGCTGCAGAAACAAACCTCAGATCCTGAATATCTGAACTCTGTTTCAGTAGCCCTTTGAAGAAGTTCCCCTCTGTGCTTAGTGGGGAGGGGGAATTCCTTTGGGTTTCAGGAACAGAGTTGGGATCTTCAAGATCTCTGTTTCTCACCCTGTCAGAGTTCATCTGCACTCTGCCTGTAGAGAAGTTCTCTTCCATGTACAGAAGGTTGTGTAGATTAATGAAGTCCAGATCCCAAAGATACTAGCTCCATTCCTACTGTGCACTGGAACAGTTTCTTTCCATGTACAGAGGAGAGCTTAAGCAGGCAGCTCTTTTGTTCTGTCTGCTTAACATCCTGAAAATTATATGCGCATGTCACTTAATGACAGCTTCACTCAACAACTTGTCCCAACTGTGATCCCAAACCCATAAATCACAAGTTTATTTTTTCAGCAAAAAGTTCATAAGGGGTTTCCAGTCACTAATAAATGTAGTTATTGTACTTTCTATAATCAAACAAGTCAATTTTGCCATCTCTGCTCATTCTGTCATCAGCTATTCTTACATTGTGGGTATTTCAGTCTCTTTTCAGTTACCAGTCTTCCATAACTTTTTAAAAATTGTCTATCCATGAGTACCAACAAGAATAGTTCTGATTTCAACTAAATATTAATCTTTAAAATAGTTTGTATCACTATATATATTTGAATCCAATTTTTTTTCTAATTCACCAGCTTGATAAAATGATTCTTTATTATTTTCTACATTTCCAACACGAACTTGAAGTATCCTTATATATTCTAAATAACTGCAGTTTATAGCAACAGTGAGTAATTTTATAAAAGTTCCCTTTTAAATTGTGGCATAATGTAAAATTTAATGCTTTCAGCCACATAATTTCCCATTATTTTAAAAGTATATTATATCTATTTTAAATTTCATCAAAAGTTTATAAATTTTAGCAATTACCTGTTCATCATTTGTACACCGTTCAATTTCAAATCATGTCTTGTGCTATTATCTACCTCAAATTTTTCATATGAAAACCATTGAAAACTATATCGCTCCGTATCCAATTGATCTCTTTATTTCATCTTATATTCTTCATGCTCTTATTGAAACATATATCTATAGGTTAACCATTTTGTCTTTGCCTATTGAAATACATAAAGGCATTTGGAGCACAATCTGAATTAATATTTATTCCATATTCTCAATATGGCACTTCTAAAATAGTGATATTTTTTTTAAAAAAGCTACACTAATTTTAATTTTATCACACCGCAGAAAGCCACGCAATCCAAATTTAGGCCATGTCTTGTAGTAACTTTTTCTGTTTATCAAACCACTTTGTAATATAACTTAAGGTTATTAAATTACTTACCATATTTGACAGAGCTACTCTGTCTTTGGGAACCACCAATGAAATATCAAAAGTTGCCTTGATAGCTGGCTCATCCCAGCAAGGGAAGGCCCTGCGAGCATCAGTGGCCTGAAGGAAAGAAAAAAAGTAGCATTAAGAAGTCAAAATATTTGAGGCATTCTGACAGATTCAAGAACTGTCTTATTCAGTATTCAAAAGAATGCACATACACACACAATCAAAAGGGGGAATGAACGTATTTTGGGGAAATGATTGGTAAAAAAGAGTCACAAGCAGAAATGCAGAAACTGAAAAGAATTTTAAAAATACCAATTTGATATAACCAGTTAATATTAATAGGATAAGTAAACTATAAATCAAAGGGATTCTTACCTCAAATTGGGTAACAGCAGCAAACCGAGTATCTCCAGAAGGGGTGATATATTTACTTCGATAGAATCCTTTCATTTTGTCATTCAATTCTCCAACAAAATCTATCTTTAATGTTCCCATCCCTGTGTTATTTTTAAAAAAGCATACAGAGATATTATTATCCTTACCGAAAAGAAAGATGCTAAACCCAGTATATTTTAGCACAAGAACACAACAGATTCCAAAAGTATGTAGATTCTGAGTCTCTGAAGAATAATAGAAGACTGATAAAAGGTGCACAAAAGAGAAACAAAATGATAATAAAGGAACAATATATGAGTAAATGATAGGAGTCTTGGGAGATCCACAAAAAGAAGCTAGTTATTTTAAACATAATTCCTGGAGTACTTAACTATTCAATTCACACACTTAAGTTACATGCTTGTACAGACTGCTAATTGGAGTCATTTATAGCTCACAATATAGCTTAGAGGGAATTCTGCTCACCAGGTTACCATATGACTAGACACAGCTCTCAGTAATTAGTTCTTAAGATCAACATTACATACCTAAAAGAAAAATGAGACCATGCAGAGAAGAAAGATGGGTTATATAAATTCACAGATAATAAGCAGTACGTTTTCTTGTGCTCTTGATAATTCATACCAACGAGTGAAGTTTGTTAAAACTTCTTACCTGAGAAAGGATCTGGTCATCATAAGGTGACTCAAGACTTCCATCTTTCTGGAACAAAAAGTCTAGCCTCTAATGTTGAATGAAGGTACAGGGTTGACCTTATGTAATTACCCAGCATAATTCCAATATGGGAATGAATCAGATCAAAAACAGACTGCCATAGGGCCCACAACCATAGAGCGCACTCCTAAAATGGCCACTGCTGGAAGAATCGGAAGCTGAGTTCCGGAGTTGGAAGCCGGAGAAGTTATGCTAGGAGTGCCGCCGCCGCAGTGAAAGCGGCGGTGCTGCCCTGGTGCTGCAGGGAGAGCTGGGCATGGTGAGGCTGGGAGGCATGCGAACTGGGGGCGGAACAGGCGCTCTTGCAACCACCCTCTTCAGCCGGGCAGAGCTCCATGCACTGACCTAAGGGATATCCCAAATGTGCCAGGCTGCGGGAGCTGGGGGGCAGGCAAAGCGCCACGTGGCTTGGTGCCTTAGGGATACCCCCTAGGTCAGTGAATGGCGCTCTGCCCGGCTGGAGAGGGGGTTTGCCGGGCAGCTGCTCGTGAGCGTGGTCACCTCATGGCTGCTTCACCCCTGAGGCTGTGCCCGGCTCTTCAGGAGCCTGCTTGCAAGGGAGCAGCTGCCTGGCAACTCCCCCCTCTGGCCAGGCAGAACACCACTCCCCAACCTAGTGGTATCCCGAAGGCAGCAAGCAACGTGAGCGCCTTTCTCCCCCTGGTGCCTTCAAGATACCGCTAGGTCAGTGAGCGGTGCTCTGCCTGACTGGAGGGGGGGTTGTCCAGGGGACTTATTTTCAGGGGGCTTATATTTTTGCCCACGCGGAAAATATGGCAAGGTCTTAGTTTCAGGACAGGTTGTATTTTTGGGAAAACACAGTAGTGAAGATATAAGCCACTTCAAGTGTTTAGAAAACATTAAAATGCTATTCCACGAATACTACATGTGATTAATTTAATGTTTGGGCCTGGTTCCTCAAAGATTTCCATTTGGCCATGCAAGAAGCTCTTGCAGAAAGTTTCTAAAAGTCCATTTTCTGTTTCTAGTTATGGGCTTGTTTATTGCCAATGTTTATTTTAACTGATTGCCAATCAGTTTGTTTATTGCCAATGTTTATTTTAACTGATTGTTAAAATCAGTTTTTAACAAAAGTGCCATTAAATGTGGTTCTGGGATTACAGGACAATGCCATGTTACCAGGCATCCAAAGTCCCAAGATATGGCTACTATAATTTGAATGGTTACCTCGTTGTAAGTTGGGGACTACAGTATCTATATCTTCAAGAAAACAAAAAGTATTAAGCAATAAACCAAAAGGAAAAGGAATAAAACAATAAATCAAGAGGAAAGCATCTCCCATAAATCAATAACAGAAAAATTGGAAATGCTTGATGCCAAAAAGAAAACATATTCTGCTGACACTTGGGGACAAATCTATATTTAATTGTTTTAATAAGATAACACACTGTACTGTACTTAAAAAGCCAAATGGCTTATATCTCTATAAATCAGCTTGATGTACTTTATATCATTTATCTAAACAATGATTTTCTCACATGCTGCTATAGTTGATGAAGCAAAGGTAAACCTTGTATTTTCTTGTGTTCTCCATTATCCATTTTACATTACTTATCTATTCTTATGTCCTACTGGTTAATTTAACTTGACTCTTCATGTATAACTCTGTTTTTTTAAAGATCTTAATCAAAACTTTGCTTACATGAATTAATGTAACTTTATTAAATTATATATCCTTTTAAATTCTGCCTTTTTTTCTCATACAAGAACACATTCGCCAATCTTTAGACCAGTCTTGTTCCATAATTGTTGACACTTGCCTCTTCTGCAACTATTTCAACAAACTTTTAGTATACACAATATTTCCTATTTCACAACTGATCTATTGCTTGTCACACTTCAGATTCTAACAGGTTGGTTCTTGGATATTTTCTCTTTAAAAGGGGTTACAGAAGGATTGAAACATTTGCAACTTGTTTCACTACATCCTTTTATTTTTGTTATTTACCAGATTACCACAATTATTTTTGAATATTCTTATTTTGTAAATTTTTCTTGTTTCATTTCCTTTTCTTTCACACCCCAATTGTTGATATAACTGATGTATTTTTCCTTGTTCTTTCTCCTTGTCTTATTTGAAAGTTTGCCTTCAGTTGTCATACAACCTTCTTGTTGCCTAAGACATTTTTTAATTTTTCCCAAGCTATCACAATTTTTATTTCTGAAACCCACTTGAAGCTTTATTTGGGAAAATCTTGGAAATATTTCTTGTCATTGCTTTCATGATATTGCTTATTCTTTTCCCCTAATCCTTCAAATTCAGTTTCCCATAAAGTAAATATTATAAATATGTTCCTTATACTGATCTGGCTGCATCTTTTCTAAGGTCGAGAATAAAGCCCCTTGTTTTGTGGGATGCCTGAGGGAGGACCCTGTTTAACATCTACATAAATTTTCTTTGGGAGAGTTGAATGGAATATGTCCTAGTTGGAGGCTGTGTGGGTCTGGATGGAAAAGGCTCAGACTCAATCTTGTCAAGATCAAGGGGATCGGAAATTTTGTATGCCCCAGATCTGAAAAATTTCCATCTTGGATGAGATTATGCTCTCCCATTCTAGACTGTGTAATCTGGTAATTGCCTTGGACTCACAGTGTTGCTTAAAGGACAGGTAGCAACTGTGACAAATAAAGTCTTTCCACAGCTTCATCTGGTGCACCAGCTTCATTCATTCCTGGGTTGGGAGACCCCTTAGACAGTCACTCATGCTCTAATCATCTTATGTTTGTATTATTGCAAAGCATTCTATATCAGGTTGCCTTGAAGACCACTTAGACGCTCAAGCAGGTCCAGAATGTAATGCTGTTAAGTGTTGGGCATTATCAATGAGATGCCATTGTTCCTCAAGCTGCTCTGATTACTGGTGAAGTTCCAGGTATAATGTAAGGTACTGGTTATCAGTTGTAAAGTTTTTTATGCCATAGTATCAGATTGAGGGACGGCCTACTTCCCATGGTTTCTGACTATCTAATTAGTTCAGGGAAAATGTCTGTTGGCTTACCTGAATGGTCATTCTCTGGGTGTTGCAGGAGAGTCCAAGGATGGGATAAATTCAGTCTATCTGCCCTAGGACTGAGTAGATTTTTCTTTAACCATGCCTACTGTGCCTCATTGAGGTCAGTTTAAAAATGAAGGTATTATCCAATGCAGGACGTATTCCTGATACTCTCGAACATGATGTAGCCTGGACACTCTGATAAGCCCTGGGCGGAGTTGGACTCTCCCGCAGCGCCCAGAGAATAACCATTCAGGTAAGCCAACAGGTCATTCTCCTGTACGCTGGATGAAGAGTCCAAGCATGGGACATACCCAAGCTATTTTGTCCCAAGGAGGAAAGAGTTATTGTCCAGATTGTCTGTAGTTGAGGCTATTCTCTGCAATACATCTCTTCCAAAGGAGGCTGAGGCTGAAGCAAAAGAGTCAATTTTGTAATTTCTGGTGAACGGTGTGGGGGATGCCCATATAGCCATTCTGAATATATTAAGGATGGAAGCTTGGGTCACAAGCTGCCGTAATGGCAGCGCTCCTATGCCGTCACGTAGGCTGGTACGGACCTGCCCTGATGTTCATAGGCCATCTTGATACACGCCCTTAGCCAACGTCCAATAGTAGAAGAAGAGACCTTACGGCCCAACGACCGAGGTTGAAAGGAGACAAAGGATTCGGACCGCCGAAATTCCTTTGTCCTTTTTACGTATCTGCGTACAGTTTGCCGAACATCCAATTTGTGCCAAGATTGTTTCTTGGGATGTTGAGGCAAAGGCAAAAGTTGGGTAATATCACCTCCTGTGCCCTAAGAGAGTGAGTGTTGATTTTTGGAATAAAGGTGGGATCGAGTGACCCACAGAATTACCCAATCACTGTGAATTATACATAGGTCCTCTCTGACTGAAAGAGCTGCGAGTTCTGACACCCTCCTAGAGGAAGTAATTGCTACTAGGAAGGGAGTTTTCAGAGTCAAGTGACGAAGACTGGCAGTTCGAATGGGTTAGAAAGGAGTATTTGTCAGGGCTCGCAGAACGTATGGCAAATTCCAGGAAGGATATCTGTGTACAATCTGGGGGAGGATATTGGATGCGCACTTCAGAAAACTCTTGACCTGAGGGTGTCGACTCAGGAATTGAGAAGTGCCCCTAGCCAGGATGGTGGACAAGGCTGCAACCTGGCGGCGGAGGGTGTTGGGCATCAACCCTTTGTCCAACCCCCTCCTGAAGAAAATCCAGGATTTGAGGGATAGAGGCTGATATTTCCTCAATACCATGCTCTTTGCATCAGGCAGAGAAGGCAACTCAAGTTGCATCATTATATACAAGTCATAGATGGTCTTCTGGAAACTTGAATGGTCTTGATGACCTTGTCAGAGATATT